AGGGTTTAGGGTTTCCCTAAATAGGGGGACCCCAATATAGACCCCCAAATACTATAGTCCTTATTATAGGGACCCCCAGAAAGGTACCCCTAATTTTGGGAAACTACCAAATCAATCTGAAGCCGGTGTCGTCCTCAACGGGTGGTGCGAGTCTGATGGCTCAAAATCCTTCTGGGCCACAAGCTGAGCTTTCTGCTTCGCGCGGGGCATCCAAACCTTCGACGACCAACATGCACAAATCAGATTATCACCCGAAGCCAGAAACCGCATCTATCTGGCGGTGGTGAGTAGGGAATAAGGAAATATCATCCCTATAGAATCCCTACATAACATAGTCCCTTACTCCCTAGTAAGTCATGACCAATTTTTAAGCCACCGTCTCAAGGCCTCTATGGTTAAGGGTTCAGCCAGAAGTTACAATATGGCTTGGGATTTAGGAATCGCATGTGGGATGCATGCTTTTTTGATTTCTGGAAAGATTTCATAACTCAGGCAACACATGCAGCAGTGCAAACTAAGCCAAGATAGAATGCTAAAACAGCGGGCCAGCTTCCACCAAGCCACCAATGCATCATGCACCCTGTACACCCCGAAGCCTAAGCTAAAATCTTCAAGCCCCAAGACTTAAACCTAACAACAGCAAAATAACCTGAACCCAAAGTCTTGTATCTAGCTAGTCTCTGGCCTTTGAGTGCCTGCAAGAGCTTCCGACTCCCCAGCATACAGCTCCCAACCTACAGCTTTACAAGGAGATTAACCCTTGTCCTTAAAAAATGAAGCTTTTACCTGAAACCAGGCACTCGCAGGTCTAGTATCTGGAGTCCCAAACTTGTTGGAGGTTGGTAGGGAATAAGGGAAGATCATCCCTGCATAATCCATATTCCGTATCCTAAGCCCCAAACCTCTTAAAAAAATAAGTTAAAAAAAGACACTGAACAATAAACCCCATATTATGTATATATATATATACATATATATTCCCAGTAAGCAGAAGCCCTGCCGCAAGGTGATGTTGGCGCAGGAGCGCTGCCACCACGAGCACCAATCGCAGGTGTCCGCGCAAGAGGTGAAGGCCAGAGAGAGGTTTAGGCTGTAGGGCCTTTAGGGTTTAGGGTTTAGGGTTTAGGCTGTAGGGTTTTGGGGTTTAGGGTTTAGGGTTTAGGCTGTAGGGTTTTGGGGTTTGGGGTTTAGGGTTTAGGGTGTAGGGTTTTGGGGTTTGGGGTTTAGGGTTTAGGGTTTAGGGTGTAGGGTTTTGGGGTTTAGGGTTTGGGTTTGAAGTTGAGGGTTCAGGGGCAATGTGGTTTCAGGTCTTGACGAGTTTTAGGGACATTTTTAGACATTCAGACCCCTTTCGTGAAATGAGAGAAGGATATCAACAGCTAAGGGTTTGATGTGTGTATATACGATTCTTTAAGGAAAGGAGCTTCAGGTTGACAGTCTAGAGGAAAGAGACAACTCCACCCGCAAATGGCAATGGCGACTACTACTGCATAAACATCTTCAGAGCTCTTCTACCACAGCCTCAGAAATGACAGGCAATAGGTTGCAAGAAGTCTACACATAATCTATTTTTTCAGGGTTGGGCCTCCCAGATAAACTAGAGTAGAGACAGAATATGGCTTGGTATATCCCGCGGTGAGACCACTGATAGGTCTGCCTGGGCTCATTGACATCCCAGTTTATAATTTGGGCCCTGAACATGGTAGCTTCCATTTTCTCTTCCATTCCCCAGTCACCCCAGGTATACCCCTATGTACCGCTTTGTAAGCATGTACATCCCTTGTAACCCTATATAAACCTTAACCTTTATAACCCTATCATGTCTTAAACTTTCGAAGCAGGCTGCGCTGGAGGCTCATGGAGAGCTGGCAGAGGCTCTCGAGAGCGAGTCTTGGCTCAGTTCTTGCGGGTCTTGAGGTTTAGGATTTAGGGCTTGGGCTTCGGTTAGGGGTTGGGGTTGAGGGTTTAGGGGTTAGGTTTAGGGTTTAGGGGTTAGGTTTAGGAGTTTGGGGGTGGGGTTCGGGTTATGGGTTAGGGTTGCGGAAGTAGGGCGTAGGGTCTAGGGGGGATTAGGTTTGAGGGATTAGGGGCTTTTCATACCACTATTTGTCAACATTGTGGTCCGAGATTCCTTTTATATGAATACTGTACAGGGTACCTCAAATAATTAGACCTCAACATGATATTGGTGTTTATTGAGTCTTGGCAGACGTCTTTCAGTTTCTCACGCTCTGGGCTACCCTCGCGACTCCTGATCATGTGGCATTTTCCATCAATAGGGACAAACCGACATAGACCCCAATATAGTAGAACAGTAATCCTCAATAATTAAATATGGGAACCCCCAAAATGGATCCGGTAATTTCTGGGAACCGCTATATGTGCAGGGTGCCTTGGGTATCTTGGAGGAACTGCCAGCTCGGTCCTGTTCCAAGATACCAAGCGCCACGCTGATATGTTCTGTGAGTAGGGTTTAGGGCCTCGGGTTTAAGGTACCTTGAGTTAGGTAACGTGGTACATCCCGGCAACATCCCTGTGATAACCGCATAGTCGTTGCCGGTCACATTTTCCTCCCAACTCACGTGCAATCTCAGGCCCCCACATATCCTCAGCCCGTAATTCTGACATGACTCCCACATACCTCTTCAGAGTTGCCACGTGGCCCCGAGATCCTTGCTGAACCTAAAAACTAATTCTTGAATAATCCATCCAAACCGTGAGGTCCCCTAAGAATAGCTGCCACCCAGGAGCAGCGCCTAGTTGTCCAGCGTCTCACTGAGGCAGGCCTCCAACTTTCTCAGGGGTTTGGAGGGGAATGGGCTACGGTGCAGGGTGTGAGAAAAGGATGTCCGGCAGGAGTCTTTACAGTTTACAAAGCAGCATTTGCTTTCGATGTGTGGATAAGAGACCGGAATCTCAAGCAGCACCTGAAAAAGCTTGAGGAATTTCCTCAGAATTCTGATGTTTATACGCCACAGCTTCATTGACTGAAACCTGTAGTCAGCAACCTGTTTACAAAGCATGTAGATCTAGATGAAGCTTTCCTGACAGCCAATCCTCAAAACCCGTGACAAGAGCTCAAAAGTTGCATAGTCAACCAGCCTCCTTTCGATTCTTGTAGGTTATGGCGTTTGGAGGCGATCATAAGCCTGAGTACCTTCTAAGTTCACTGCTAAGTTGCCCGGTGTGCCATCGAACCTGAACTTCGAGAGTGTTGCAGGGCCTGCAGCGCGAGGGTGCCGCCCGCAGCGACGCGATGAAGCGTCTACAGATCCTCGAATTGGACGTGCAGAAGGCACCAGGGAACACCGCGCGCTTCAGGGGCATCAGTACATTTTTAATCCCTTCCCCAATCTAATCCACCGTTTTGGCTTGAGTGATCATCAGTTGTTTGATGAGTTTTTGTGATTGTCGTGGTATCTAGCCCCCTGAATCCCCAGCTCCAAACGTGAGGTCTGCCATAAATTTCAGAAAAGATGTTATGACAACGGTGAGCCCCTGGAATCACTTACAGCTGCCGTCAGACAGAAAGGTGGTGAAGTCGATCACATGTAGTTTGTAGTCTTCGAGAAGCAGCTGGCCTTGGCTCACACAAGATCTTTTACCGACACTGCTCCCTTTGCCATTGCCACAGCTGCCTTCGCCGCTGGCGGAAGTAAAGCATTTGGCCCAAGATTCACGCTGCGCGTGACGGTTGTGCTTGAACAGCTCGGGCCTTTGGCTACTGCTTTCTAACGACCAGGCCTGCTGACAACACAGGAGCCGTGTATGATTCGAAAGCTATAGCTGCAACTGATGGAAGCATGGAGCCTAGTGACTTTGATTTAGCGTTTTTGGCGTCCGTACGGAAGCTAGAGTGTACAGCAAGCTCTCACCAAGAAGCCCTAGGGTTCAGAACACAGAAAAATCGCAGTGCCATTGCCACGCACTTGAGTTTGCATCTTGTGATGCCCGGATAGCGCGACGCATGCGACGAGATTTGACGTGATCCATGGACGCAGCTCTGGTAGAGGTCTTAAGTTGTCTTGCAAGATTACCCAGAAGGAGGCTTGAACCAACAACAGCAGCCTTACACAAATCAGTCGCACAAGTCTGGGAGAACCCACTTGAAAAACGCATTACTGCTTTACTTAAACTGGACCTTCATACACAACTCCCCTAAGCCGCATGGAGGCACGCGCCTTCCTAAGCACACCCATGTGCAGGTCAGGAGCCATCTGCCAATCCTTTTCGCGCCTTCCTCCGCCTTCCGCTGAGAGCTTCAGTGGGCCCCGGCCCCTAGCATCCCAAAGGTTCAGGGATAAAGGCCTAGGGATTGGCTTGAGCGAGAACATAATTATGACCTCGGAGTCAGGCGTTCTAATTAGGTGTGGCTGTCGTCGGAAAACAAAAAGCAGTTTACAGAAGGCGGTAAAGCTTAACCGCACAAGCCCATGGCCCACTCCGCCACTCCGTGATCGCCATTGTGGTTCTAGTGCTAGCACGTCCTTGCGAGTTTCTTTCCTTGGCAGACTGACTGTGACAAGAAATCACATTTAGCCTTTTTTTTTTTTTTTTTTTT